ATTAGTGCAATGGAATATTTAAAATGACTTTTATTTTACTGATTTCTGTAAAAGTCCTTTTTGCATTTACCGGCTGATACGCTATGTGTTGTCCTATGTGTGTTAGATTTTGCTCATAGGAAGATGTGTTTGACATTCGGTTTGGTCTAAGAACTCTTGTTCATAATTTACCTGGGTTTAGCAGTTAACCTGGGTATTCATTTCAGTGTAAAAAGCCCTATTGTTGTGACTATCTCATCTCTAATATTTAATGCAAACTTTGAGCTATATTAATTAAATTCTGCTTGAAGAAGTCAATAATATGGGCAAGAGTACTGATGGCCACAGTGTAACTCTTCAACACTCTCTGTCCAATTGGGAAGCAAAAAAAAAAAAAGAACAGCAGGAGTCTGCTTATAGAAACACGGTGAACATCTAAAATCACAAAACACACATACACACAGACATACAGAAAGCCGGCTCTTAGAAAGAATCAGTGTTATATAGGCAATTTGGTTTTAAGAAATATCTGTCGCAATACATGTTTGCACAGTTCTTTGGAATTTAAATCAATAAGGCACTCTGCAATAGTTGAAGTTGACCCGATATCCATATCTTGAATAAATCACTCTTTCAGTCAAATAGCCACATGCTTTGAATCAGTTCATGATTCGGTCTAAATCTTTCGAGGAATGCATCGTTTGGAGCGGTTTCTCACTCCGAGAAAGTTTAGAACACAAACAACAAAAAGGGCGCTGGAGGAAGAGGATATGAACCTACAGTAAACTGAAACCAAACCTGAACCTTAACCTACAGTAGACTGAAACCAAACCTGTGTTTGTCTGTTTGTCAGAGATGACAAAGGTCTTTTTTTATGTTTGACATCTGCACATTGAATGTCAGTGTTGCTGTTCTTCAGGCAAAACCAGTTTTCAGTTAAAAGGTTATAAAACAGTAGGCTAAAGTGCCACAACATAACCATATTGGACAATACATGTCCCATGTTTTTTTTTTAAATACATTGGCATACAAGGCAAATACTGTAGTATGTCAGTATCGATTTGTATATCAAAGTACAGTGATGCAATGTTATGCCACCTGTAGTCACACACTTCAGAAGTCAGAATTCAGAAAGAGCTTCATTGCCAAGTATGTTTGCACGGTGAGCGTGATTTGACCAAGTACAACATGTTCCTGGATCAACATCCTTGTTGATCCTGGAACATCATTCCAATCAACCAATCAGAATTGAGGGATAACTTTTCAGGAAATGTCCATTTTAGGCTTACAATCAGGATTAGGTGCTTCTACACCCTTGTTAATCAGCTATCATTTCCCTCTGATTTTAGGAATAAATTATGGGTAGGGTCAGGTTTAGGTTTAGGGGTAGGGATTGGGTTAAGTCTGTATTTTTGGACAGTAATGTTGATCCAGGATCAACAAAAGATGTTGATTCAGGAACATGTCTTGCTTGGCAAAATCATGGCGACCATGTTTGCACATACAAGGAATTTGTTTTAGTGTCACAAGTAGGGGTGTGCCGGTACGAGTATCGGTACCGAACGGTTCACGGGGCAAATTCCAAATGGAAGTGATCATCCCTATCCCCTTGGAGTGGGGACTTTGGAGTGAAAAGGGCATGTGCGTGCCATTATGTAGTCGTTTGGAATGCACTTGGCAAAGGGAGCGACGTAATTTCCTCATTATTTTCAGCTGGCATGTTCCCGTGACAACGCAGCA